GCATGAATCAAGCTGCCCTCCCACCACTGAGCTGGTGGGACTCGCTTGCCATCACACACAGGCAAAGATGTCTCCATTCACACTGGAGAGGGCCCTGTCCCACAGCATGGGTGCTCCCCCAGTTCACACATCACAGGAACCAGCTTCCCCTGCACATAGCCAGACATAGGTAGGCAAGATCACAAATGTGAAAGAAACACCCACAGCAGCTTCCCAGGGGAATTTCCCAGCCTTTCATCTCCCCATACCTGGGTACTTGGATAGTCCTCGGTACCACACCAAACAGATGGCTTGACAAATGTTTGACGAAGCTGAGTCTCCTTCTCTAGATCTCTGCAAGTGCGATGCTGCCTCCCTCCAGAGCTGCCTGGGCTGCCAGAACTCTTCAGCTGCCACTGACACTAGAATGCAGTTCCTGGGCGAGAGCGGATAGCTGTGGATGTGAGGGCTGTTGAGAAACAGATGTTCTTCCATGCACTTCCTCTGCCCTCTCCTCTGACAAGGTGTTACCTAATTGCCCCTGACAGCATTGCTGCTCAGTCTAGGGTTTAATCCTCTGGGTAAGAGCTTTGCTTGCGTCCGAATGCTAATTATACCTAATACAGGGTAATGGGCTTATCTCAATTGCGTCAGATATCCCATTTCTGGGTTGCTGGCCAGGTTAATCATTCTTCTTTTAGTTTTCTTTGAACTTAAGGAGGCTTGAATACTGCTGACAAATGTAGAATCTTTAATCTGCCCCCCCTCCTTAATCTCTGATTCTCCATGGAAAATTTCCCTGACAGATCATGCAGATGTCTCACTTGACCTTCTTCAGACATATTCAGTGTAGTGTCTCATCTTCCACTGTCAGAAACCCTCAAAAATACAGAATTTTCCATTTTCACTTGTCTTCATGGTGCCTCAGGAGTGTTAGAAACAGAACCCCCATAGACCATGGCCCTCCATGCAGCGATGAACTGGGAGAAGACAGCATTCAGAAGAAATACCCTTGTTTTTACATTCCTTTTAATGGGGTTTTTGTATGCTCAGCTCTTGACCTCTCAAGAGGAACTAGCATCATCCTTGCTGCCAGGCTTCCATCAGCGAATACTGTATCCAGTGCAAGATGCCTGTGAGGAGTGAGGAGTCTCACAGGTCCAGTTTTTTGAGCTGGCTAATCATAGCAATGCAAAAAGTCCATGCAGGTTCCCTTTCTGATCCGGTGTTTTACACAGGATATCAGACCCTTCATTCTAGCAGCAGTTTTAACACCAAGAACAAACGAAAGAGAATACACTCTAAAAGACAGAAACTAATTTAATGTAGAACTATATTCCCACAGCTGCTTCCAGGATGAGGATCATTGGAAAGACTATCCCAGTTGAAAGAAAGGATCCAGTAACACTGGAGGTACAGCATCACACGGTACAAACTCCCCATTGATGTGCCCTGTGTGCACAGCTGGGGATAGAGGCAGGGAACACCACCTGCCTGTCCTCACCACTCCTCAGGAGCCCCCTTGGCGCTGCTCACACGCAGGCTATGCCAGCCAAAGACACAAGCCAAGGGGATGCCAAGAAACCCCAACTGAGGGGTGCTCGGCATGAGAAACCGAGCATCCCTGCAAAGGGCAGAGCTGCATACACAGCCACAACCACTGCTGCAGTCCTTGACCTAACATTAGAGGAAACAGAAAACGACCACCCAATAACCACAGCTCCTTCTTTTAGCTGCTGGGTCTGTTGATGCTCTCCAAGCACAAACATCCAGATTTTCCCCTCATGGGGTTTTATCAGGACTTTTCTCTTCTCTGGGTTTTACAGCCAGTTCCTCTTTCATCCCCCCATGCCACCCTGGTTATTGCGTTAAGCTCCTGGGAAATACTTACAGCGCTAAGGGCTCCTCTTGCAAATCATCCAATTCCTGTCCTCCCGTCTGCGTAGAAAGGGTCTCGAGGTGTCCCTTCTCCTCCAGATATACCCTACTACCAGGTGACATCAGGGCGGCAATCGTGGGCGGGCCCCTCCCTGCATAGCGGGGGGAGGCTGGGGGGGTGTGTGTGGGGAGCGCTGTAACTTTGGTGCTCTGCAAGGACAACTCCAGTGAGGTCTGGGGAGCAGCAGAGCCTTGGCACATGCCTGAGGGGCAATGTGCCCCTTTCTGCAAGAAGAGGTTGTGTTTTCTCTGGAGCTCATGGGGGGAGATCTTTGGAGAAGCAAAGAATAAGGAAATAATCATGAACGCACACACAGACACACACAGACACACACAGACACACACACACACACATGCCTACACATGCAGGGAGGGTAGGAGTTGGTCCTGATCACCCCAGGTCCCTCCCCTGTGCTGGTGAATGTATGGAGAGGCTTTCAGCAAACTTGTCAGCAGTGCCACAGGGGTCAAGGCGCACCTTACAGAGAGGTGCCTGTGGTCAGCCTGGTGCCGAAAGGGCTGAGTCCACTCAAAGGAGACATAGGGAACACTGCTGAGATGCTGCACAGGGCCCCAGTGAATGTTTAGCTGCATCCAGCAGATTGGATCGCAGAGCAAGAAGGGGGAACATTTGTGTTGCATGGGGGTGGCCAGCCAGTGGGGTGACCTGTCACCTCTGAGACCTGAGGCATTAGGCTGAGGGTAACAGCTAAGTCACATGTGGGTACCAGTAACATTGCTGCTGTGAGTGGCCGGCTGAGAAAGGGAAGAGCTGGTGTCTCGGCTCAAACTCCAACCCAACAAAACTCCATGGATAGTAATGCATGCTGTTTTATCAGGTTCTTTGTATCTCCAATGCGTTTTAATAGTCTGTTGTGACTACCTGGGAGACCAGTGTCAGAGATGTGGACAAAGTGAGAGTGTCAGGATGAAAAGAGAAAGTACAGGGCCCTGCTAGAAGGTACTGGAAGATCACCTTCATCCTCAGCTGCAGCAGCATCTCAGTAATGGAGTATAGCTCTCTGGCTTGAAGCATAACCATAGGGACAACAATCCTCTGGGGTCCCTCGGCTCTGGTGAAGCACCACTCACTTCCCATTGTTGAGCATCCAGCTCACAACATGAGATCAGAGCTGGCAGGGCCAAAAATGGTTCCAGAGAAAGGAGCTGTGCTAGAAGCATCAGAGCAATGCAGGGGCAGAAGGAAAACAAGGTGTGGGTTTGTGTAGTGATGGACAAGCTTTGTCTTTGGGGGAGGCTGGAGGAGGGGACTGTCGTGATTTATACAGTTGCTCTATCACCTAATGCCTCCTCCCTACCCAGGGAGGGGGGTTGGGAAAAAGAAAAGAGATTAATGGGTTGAAATATAAATATATTTAATAAAAGAATAATAATAAAAATAATAAACAAATATTAATAACAGTTATAATATAAAATACACAGAGTTACAGTCAGCCAGTATTGTGGGGGAGTAGGCCTCAGGATTAGGATAGTAAACAAGTCCTTCTCGAGATGTCGGCCATGGAAGAGGGGGCAGGAGGGAGAGGAAGAGGCAGAGGAGGAAGAAAGGCCATACGCAGCAAGCTCCCCAGTTTGCAGTGAATGATACGTTTATGGTATGAATAGTATTAATTGGTCAGCCTGGGGTCACCTTGGGGTTGACTCCCCCAGGCTTCCGCTCCCCTCAGCTTCTGCATCTGTTTATCTGTCTCAAGACCTTGGTCACCGTGGCAACCTGCACACCAGCATTAGCTGAAACCTATAACAAAGTTTCTACCAACTTTTTCCCCATGAAATAGAATGTTGTAGTCCTTACAAAATTGCAGTTTTTCTCAACAGAAAACTGAGTCTAAAATTCTGTCCCACTAAACCAGGATGGGGACTTTGGAGCAGTCATGCCCGCCAGGGATGTGACTGCGTGTGACTGAGAAAGGACAGGCTCTCTCTTGCATGACAGACCTTGGCAGTGGGGAACCAGTCCAGCACTCCTCTGGTGTTGAGCAAGAGCCCCACAGCGGAAACCTCTGGCCTTTCAGATAGCTGAAGTTAGATGAGATAAATCCCTCAGTGAGAGCCTTAGCTTACATTTTAAAAAATCGATAAGGTCCTTGATCTTGAGTGGGCACAGAGAAGCTGGGAAGTAAATCCTAGATGCAGCTGAAGGCTTTCAATCTAGCAGAGAAGCAGCAGACACGCTTAGCGTTCCCACGTGTTTGAGGAAGGGTTGTGCGATAATTTCTGGGCACAGGAAAGAGGACGGGGGCAGCATCATGTTGGCATCGTCTCTTCCCTGTGACAACTAGAGCTTGTACACAAATGCATGGAGATTGATTGCACTGAGCAGCTCCTGACAGCAGAAGTGATTACTGTGGGCAGGGACCTGCTTGTATATATATAAAGAGGTGCAGGCTGCTGGCAGCAGACTCTGCTCCCATCCCCGCTGCTCATTCCCATGCCTCCATCTGCTGCAGACAGGTTTCCGGGGGCTCCCCCTCCCATTCTGCCTTCTATGTAGGTACAGTTGCTGGGGAAATCAGCTCTACAGCCCCTTACTACTCTTTTCTGAATCGTAAAAATTTACTTTTTTTTCCAGGCTGTTTGTTTTCAAAACATCTTTGTTTTTCCAGTGACATTTTCTCTAACAAAACTGGACATGTGGGAAAAAAAATTCCATGGTGTCAACATGAAGCTATTTTTTGGGCACAGACAAAATATGGCAGGAACTCCCTAAATGGCCCTGCTTATCATGTTCTTTCTTATCTCCCATGATTATCAGGCCATTCTCCCCTCTCTTCCTCTCTCTGTCCTCCATCCTCACTCTTTACTTTCCCCTCACAAAATGGGTGGCATTTGCTTTTTGGGTATGCAGGTGTGCAGCTCCCTTGCAGAGCAACAGGTGTCAGCTTTGTGTCGCTGCCCAGCTGCCACCCCAGATGGACGAGTTCTGACCAGGGACCCTGTACCTGATCTCTGTCCCTCTCTGCCCTAGCCCAGGCTCTTCCTCCCCTGGCCTCAGGAAAGCCAGTGCCAGCCTTCTGGGCCACAGCAGTTGCCACCCGATCCAGACCAGAGCTGCACCAGAAACTGTGGGGTCCATGTGGCAGCAGGAGTGGCCCCAAAGGAAAAGCCATGAGCTTCATTACCTCTGGCCAGATTACTCCCTGTTCCGAGGAATCTCTTAAAAACATCTCCAAGGTTTCTGACCCTATTTATGAGCTGGTGTAGCCATGGTAACTGGAGTTATACCAGAAATAGCAGCTCACTTGAATGACAAAGAAAACATGAGTTTACAAGACAGTGACTTTTCCAGGGGCTGGCTGAGCTCATGGGACTGTGGGAGGAAATCCCAGCCGAGGTGCAGGCTCGGGGGTGCAGCAGATGAGGGCTGTGGCTGGCAGCAGCCACAGTCACTCTTTAGAAACATATCTCTACAAGCTCATGCCAGGTGCTTGGGAGACTTTGTGCCTTCCTGATAGAGCTTTATCACTTGCCACACAGACATACCTGACTGGAAGTGAGCAGGGAATTTCCCAGGCATCTGCAGTTAAACCTCGGTTTCCCTCCTGCAGACAGGCAGCCTACCAAGTGCCTCTGAGTTCCTAGAGGAGAGTGGTAGGACCTAGATTAGGAATGAGATAGTCTGTTTGTCTTGTAGAAGGTCAGTGAGGTTGTTATGTCAACAGCATTTCGGCGAGAAACTTGGTGTACCAAGATGCCTGCAAAAGAAGATTCACATACTGTTACCCTCCTTCCCCAGTGCCCATCATATTCCTAAGCAGTCTGTTGTTTGTGCTAGTGAAAAAAAAGGGGAAATGGATATAGAGGATTGGGCTTTGCAGATATTTAGCTGTTTGAATACATGCAAATCAGACCATCAAAGGTGCAGAGAAGAAAGCATGCTCATGGAGGGTTTTATCGCTCTTCTTCAGGAAATGGTGCACCACTACTCTGGTATCAGGACTAAGCATCTGTAGCAGCCTGTAATAAACTGGGTGTACTGACTTTGGGAATCTGTGTCTCTGATCTCAGCTTGCAAAAGAGCCTGGTCTCTGCTCTTATTTCCACTCGTGTCCTCAATGCTGCTCTGTCAATGGGGCAGAGATTCAAGTGGCTGAGGTCTGTTTTCCCACTGCCAGGGCTCTAGAGAGGGTCAGTCTGGAGAAAAAGGTTCTTTGAGGAAACATAAATCAAACCATAAGGTTTAGCTGAACTTTCAGCAACAGCCCTGTCTGTGTTAGAAACTTGTCAGCAATGGGGACATGACTAAGTCTGCAAACCAAATGGCTACTGCCAAGGCTTCTTCAGGAAAAAAGAAGTCCCTGTTTTTCCTCATTCCATCAAGGGTGCTCAATTTGTGCATGTTGGAACTTCATTACAGGCACCAGGCTTTCAGGCAGCAATGCTTTAGGACATGCTGGAGCTTTTTATAACAGATGATATAAACCCGATATAAACCCCATGTAGCCTGCCATACACTTCATTAGTTGCCAGAGAGTTACGTTTTCTTCTGAGTAGTGAGTCTGGCCTTTCTTGGAAGAGATAACCAAGTCTTACCATCTAATACCACAAGACTGCTACATTGGTATGATTTTGTTAGATTACACAAACTTTTCCCTAGTTGGCATAAGTTAAAGGGAAACAAGAATGAGCCCTTTCTTTTTTAGATAGCACTTTTCACCCACAGATCTCAAAGTGCAGAGCTAAATTTGCATCATCTTTATTTGTAAATATGGAAACTGATAGAAAGTTCATAGACCTGCAGATGAAACTCAGCTGATCAGAAATTTGCTGTGAGGACTTATATGCTTGGCCATGCAGCACAAAAAGCTCAGTACTTTATAACTGCTTTGTGATTCATTGTTTAAGAGCATCCCTCTGCTCACTGCAGAGCTGTCCCATGAGAAAGCAGTAACATTAGTGAGCATCCTTTCCCTGCACTAACTTTGCTTAATGTCTGCATTCAAGCTGTTGGTAGTGCTGCAATGGGATTGAGTTTGTTAGATCATTTTTA